GATATAGTTGTGTCTGTGTTTGCATTAAAATCACCAAGAATGATTGGGAGTAGATTAAGGGTGATGGCTTGTTGTATACATGTTATTACTTTGTTTTGTGTTAATTTGTAATTGGTTGTTTTTACTATTATTAGAACCAGAAAGACCTGATGAATAACATTTATTAAGATCAACAGAAGGCTTACTTAATAACAATACCTCTTCTGGAACACTTTTCTAAATTTTAGGGGGTGGCATTAGCAAAAATGAGGGTGGCAATAGCAATTCCCTAAAATTATTATAAAATTATAAATCGTAGAGTGTCCATTAATTTTAAACAGTAAAATAGATAATAAGTATCTCTTTTAATAAATGATCTTGATTAAATTGCATGAAGTTCCATAGAATTGAAATGATTAACTAACTGTTTTTATAGAATTATAAGTCACAATCTTAAACTTGCAAAATTCAAAGATTGGCACTATCTAAATGTTTATTGATCAAGTTTCAAAAGTTACGAGCTATTTGCTCTCATTTAATTTTTTTTTATTCATGCTGATTTAATGTCAAATAGTTTGATTATAAATGACTATCAATTTTTAAAATTTTTATATTTCAGCTTACTTATTTCACTTGACCTCAATAATGATAAATATAATAAAATGCAAATTAATTCATGTGTATTAATTTAGTACACGGCACTATATTCGGATTTTTATTAAGCTGAATTACAAGTGTATTTCGAAAATAATTACTAACTCTTCACTAAGCTATCTAGTTATTTAAGAAATTTAGAAGAATTATTTTCTATCCAAAAGTTATTCGACTTATCTTTTCAACAACAGAAAAGTATCGATTATATAATTTTTCTTTACTTTGTTGGTTCAATACTCTTTCCGACGGTTACTAACTTATTCCGTTGGTTTTTATTCCTTGAGCGGTTACTAACTTTTCAAGTTAATTAGTAAACAGCCCCAATAGTTGTAACCAACGGCTTACCGTTCCGTAAATCGTAAAAAAATTTTTTTAATAAATTTTCTTATCAGGCAATAAATTTCTATATCAGGCATAACAAACATACGTTCCTATGCTTATCTATATATAGTCAAACATTAACATAACGAATTTCCTAAATGCTTAACATCAATGTTGCACATGACGTTTTTAAGTTATTGTCGATTTACGCAAAAGACGAGATTTTCGGGTATGTACGTACGTACGTACGTACGTACGTAACTTTAACTGTGACCAACTATTGACTGCATTTTGAAGATCCGACTTCAGTGCAACTTATATAAGACTTTATGCTAATTTACAAAGTACTCATAATCACGATAACCCGTTTTTCAAATTAAAAAATCTTAAAAAAAATTATTGTTACTTTTACAGTCAACATACGTATATCGATATATGCAAATTTACCAATCTTCGAATATTTAGAGTTATTATCACACCGAAATTCTCATCGAAATTCTTATAATTCAAAATCAAAACGTAGACAAACGTTAGTAATATTAAATCGTGAGTAGTCAGTCATGTGCGACAAATAGGGTTATTACATAATTGCGACTGCACTGTTAGTTATGACATTAAATTTTAATTTTTACAGTACCTTAATTTACAATGTTTCTTAACAAATATTCAAATATTTTTACCATTGGCTCAAAGAGCTTTCTTTTTTCTTACACTAAAAGGAATTTATCTGTAAGATATTTCACATCAACGAATATTATAAAAATGTCAAAAAAACGCTCAGAGGAAGAATGGCAAGCAATCTTAACTACCGAACAATTTAGAATTTTAAGACAAATGGGAACTGAATTGCCAAATACTGGTGAATATAATAAATTTAAAGGAAAGGGTAAGGTTTTTCTTCCCTACAAATATACTTGCCCTGTTTGTTTTAAAAATTTGCTTTGGTGTAATTGTAAACTCACTTTTATTAGGTGTATATAGTTGTGCTGCTTGTAATACCCCACTTTATACTTCTGACACAAAATTTGATTCTGGATGTGGCTGGCCTGCTTTCTTTGAGGCTATTCCTGGTATGATCAATAATTAACCTTATCGATTTTTATCACTAATGATTATTCTATAAATATATACTTAATTTTATTTAATCTGTAATGAAGGTACGATTAATCATCATGAAGATTTATCCAATAATATGAAGAGAGTTGAAATTACCTGTGCTGCTTGTGATGGTCATCTTGGCCATGTTTTTCAAGTAATTAAATTTTTTGGTTTTTCTGTTTAAATATCTTAATCTAAGAATTTTTATTTATTTAAGATATTTATTTAAAATAGGGCGAAGGCTGGAAACATACACCAGCTGATGAAAGACATTGTGTTAATAGCGTTAGCATTAAGTTTTCTCCTGAAGAGGAAGAAAAAAAGGACTAACAAAAAATTGATCTAGTTTTTACACATTTATTTCATTTTTATATGTATTATTTAAGATATTTTTATATTTTCTGATTATTTTACGCATCAATTTAATGAGTAAGTCGTACTCATCAAAAATGAAGCAATTATCCAAGATCTCAAAATGTCAGTTTAATCAGAAGCATTTTTATATTAAAATATAGTCTTGAAGTAAAAAAAAAAGGCAATTTTGTTATAACAAAGAATCATGTGCACTAAAATAGATTCTTCTGATCGCGGCATTTTTATTAATAAACTCGTTCTTCCTTATACATTTTTGCTTTTTAACTTATAAGAGACATTTTTTACAAAATTTGAAATGAAGCCTGCATAACGCTTAATCAAATTCAATCAAAATCGATTATGTGTTTATTATGACAAAGTTTATAAAAAGGGTCAATTGTATTTCTTTTCTAGTACCGTATTTTCACGTAATTACGCCCACGAATGTTATTACAACAATCATATACAGTAACATTCATATTTTCGAATTGATGCTCATGCGCTTCCGAAATAACGTATGCAGTAAATTCTACACGTAATCAAGTAATGATAATTATGTATTCTCTTCTAATTTAAATAAATTGGTCTATGCGAAGTTAATTTTTGTATGTGCATTATTTTATGTCTAAAACTCATTTTCTAACTCTTCCTCTTCTGACACATATATTTGTATACTGTATACCTGATGAAGGCATTGATTTCCGTCATTTAGGCGAAGAAAAAAAGATACCATTCCTGATGAGTCGTTGGTACTGCACCTAATGAGATAGAAGAAAACCGATTTATTTTATATGTTCTATGTTTGATCTAGCAATCGAATTGAACAGTAATAATAGAGCTACAAAATTTTACGTCATATCTTATTACTTCGATAATGCATAATTTATCCTATCAGGAACAATATTGACAATTCATATTTGCGGCAAAAACTGATAAAAAATTACTGATTTCAGGTTTTATTAATAATAAAGCTAGAAATTATATAATTATTATTATAATGTTATAAATATAATAAGAAACATTAACAATAAAAATTCGATAGTAATAAATAATCTAAAAATTTAACTTTTTAAAACAAAAATAATTAAATGAAAGAATATATAGCAATAATTAAATAAAACTTAGCATATTTTTAATCAATTAAGATTTGTATTTTGATCCTTTTCTCGAAGCATTTTGCCTTTTTCTTGAGAATAATTCAAGCATATAATATCTAAATCATTTTAGTAAAAGATTCCTTATCTAATGAACCGCATAGAAGAGAGTTACAACCAAGAGATTCAAATGCAACATTTATAATTCTATGGTTATTATTAGGATTTTCAAAAAGTTGATTTACAAATATAAGCTTATTTTCATCGGAGTCAATTGCATCTAATTTTGAAGAAGAGAAAATTTTATCTTTTTGGTTCATGGGGTTCCATTCAACTTCTTTCTGAAACATATTATTTAAGTCATTTCTAACATAAATAGTACTTTTAAAAGCAAAAAAATGTAAGAATATTGTGAAATTGATAACATAACAATAAAAATAGATGCATGATTACCAAATACATAATTTTATGTGTAAATTTTCGTCAGTTATTGGCTTATTGGGTTGTTCAGAACTGTAGACGAATAAATACGCATGATCCTTTGAGATAGAGAAATTCGAGCCAAATACTAATTTTAAATCATAAGGGTTTCTTCTATTCGAATTTGAATACGTTTCTTTATCTACCATGCATGTTGACAATATAAATTTCCTAGCTCTTAACCATTCCGTTTGGTGTGAAAATTGGTGTGAAGTGTATGGTTTTATTTCATATTTTTCACTTTCATATATAACATGATTTGACAAACTAAGATCAAAAGAATCGTCTGGATATCCCATAACAATCCACCCAACTTTAAGCTTTCTGAATTTTTTTCGCGGCTTTTTTTCACTTGGAACACGTTGGATAACGATTACTGGCGCGTCAGGGGCATCATAGGTCACACATGAAGAAAATATATGTCGATTGTGTTCTTTCATTACCGTAGAAAATATTTCACAATCTTCAATATTAGAAATATCATCCAACTCCCATCCGATGTCATGACAATATGGATCATTTCCACTTGTGGAGTACATAATTTCATCAATTCCATCTTTTTGGCCAAAGGAGTTATGCATAAAAAATTTCTGATCAAAATTTGTAATAATCTTTTTATTATTTTAACTTTAAAAGGAAATTACCTTTTAAAATCCTTTTTCCCAAAACTTTTATAACGTTTTTTCGTAAATCACCCTTTAATAGATCAAAAATCGAATAAACATTATTATGTTCAATAATATCCCAAGTATTTGAATCATTGAGCGAATTAATCCAATTGATGCGATTATGTTGGTATTCATCTTTGTTGCCACCTTTTATTTCACAAGTGGAACTAGATTTGCTTTTTGATGAGTTGAAACAATTTTCTGTATTTGATTTTGTACCTAAGCTTGCTTTGCCTGATAATGCTTGACATCCTGTATCCGTAACATGGTTATTCTCATCTTTAAATTATTAAAACTTTAGTGGAATAAATTGTAACAGAATTTTCGTACAATGAAGAGTAAAATAATACCTGAATGCTTAAAACTTTCGATTTTCTGAATAGCAACTCCTCCGAAGGACATAGATCGTGCATAGAAATGTCCATATTTATCAGCAATTTCTTTAAGTTTTGCTACTTTTTTATTGCGAGTACCTTTTTCTAATGCTTCTCTAATGTCATTTTTGAACTCATCAGTTATATCAATATCATTTTTATCTATATCAATTTTTGCACGTTTTACTTGAATATATGAATATTTTGTATTTGTTTCATAAGAGTTCGGCTTTTCACGTGATAATATTTGATTAAGTCCAAAGGAAATCGAAATAAATGGCAATACGAAACCAACCTTTCCAAATGTGATAAAATTTTTTTTACGTAATTCTTGAAATTCACTCTCGCATTCAAATTCGGAATCTTTGTAATCGGTAACTTCATATGGTTGTGTTGTTGTTTTAATAGTAAATGCACGATGTCTGGGAGATTGAATTTGTTTTACAAACATTGAATCTTTATCTATAACAAAACCATATCCGCATTTATTAACTAGCTTTGCCCAGTCAGGGTCATCATCTCTTTTAAGAATATTTAATACGTTTAAACCATGTCCATTAATACGTAAAACTTCATAAAGCTTTTTTTTATCTTCGTCTACTTCTGAGATAAACGTATTTTCTTGGTCAGAAAATCGATGGTTTGATTTCATACGTTCAGGATCAGTAAATTTGTTGTTTGCAAGAATAGATCGAATTTGAAAAAGGCTCATTCTTTTATCTAAAGAACGTTTAAAGCTATGATGATGCGTCTTGTCAGAATAAATGATAATAATCATTTCAGTTTCTTGTAAAATAGAAATATATAATGTATCATTTTTGAGAAATTTTTTTAAATTATTCGAATTTTCTTCGGTGGTTTTAATTATACCTCCATTTTGCTTCCGAAATAAGAATTCACCTTTGATTTTGTCTTCAGTTTTTTCTTTAATTTTTTCGCGAATTTCTGTAAGCTTACTTTTTGGGTTTAAATATACTGTATGTTCCTCCAAACCATCAACATTAACATTAATGCTTCTTAACAAAAATTCTACATGTATTATGGATTCTTTATCACAAATTGTTTCTAAATTATAATATTTTTCACATTCATAGGTTATTGATGTTCCAGCTTTATCAAAAAATTGAAGATTATTCGCTTCGGGATAATCTTTATCTGGATAAATTTTTTTATCTTTTGCCAACTCCTCTCGCACATATTGAAGTTCTTTGTTTGGTTGAAACCCCTTAGGAAACACACTTCCATTTCCAATTTTGAATTTAAATAGTTTTTCTTGATTTTTATCATATTTTTTAAAGAACGAAAAGGCCATTACTGTCAGCGAGTTGAATGATAAATTCTTATAAATCAATTTTTGTGATTACAAATTTTAGAAAATAGTACGTACGTACGTACATTATTAATTCATTTTACCCGTTTTATTCTTTGTGGACTTAACTTGCGTAGCATAACTTCAGTATCACGTCCGCTTAACCTAAACAGAAAAACATTATTCTCCATTGTAATGTAGTACATACGTACGTACGTACACAGTTGCCAATATCCTTGTATAGACTCGTAAAACATAACTTTACCTAATCTCTGCTCCGTTTTGGATGTTATTCATTTAACTCAGTATTTGAATTTCTTCTCAGATGTCGCACCTTTATGAATTTTTTACAGAAAAAAGGATTATTACTATTATTAATGGCGAAAAGTTTAACATAAAATTAGACGAATTGAATAGTTTAAAAGCATTGCGAGAATTCCTGACTTCAAATAAAGATATTTCAATAGATTGGAGCAATGCACACTTTATAGATACAGCCAAAGCTAAAATATCTCATAACAGCGAGAACCGTTATAAGGTTAAAGATATTTTAATTCAAGAGGACGATTATTATGCTTTATATATAGAGGTAAACACATCAATTCCGAACATTCCAGAAATCATAAAAAAACTTAAGATAGATAAAGGGTATAAATTGGATAATGGCACTATTGTTGCGGCAAATAAGCAAGCATTTTATATAGACAACATGTCTTTTAATGTTAAAGACACGTTTTCTAGTTATCATTGGAAAACAAAAGAAAATTTTGAACATTTGTGGGCGAAAAGTTTTGAGGACAGGCATAAACCAAATGACGAAGTAGAAGGCAGCAAAGTAATTTCACTAAATGAATGCAAACTTTATTATGCTGAAAAAGCTAATATTCTATTATCACATGAAAATTTGAAATTAACAAAAGAATATTATTATGCCATCAAGAATATAATCTGTCAAAAATATTGGAGCGACACAGAAAAAATAGATTCCTTAAATAAAATTGGCGAAGATTACGGTTTTTTCTGGTAAGCTTAGCTATTTATGATGATTAATGATAATGTGTATATATATTTCTGTTATTAATTGTGACAAACTAATAGGCCTAGTGAAATCATGCTTGGCGGTAAAATTATGCAATTTATCGATCCTAAATCACAACTTCAACATAGAATACTTGGTGGTGATATCCTAATGTCAGAAAATAAAAATGATTGGCTACAGCATTTAAAATCTTACAAAAATTGGGAAATTATTGGATATTATAATAGAATTTCACTTTACGAATTGCTTGATGAAAATCTACAGCGTAAAATAAAAAAGCTGTTTGGAATGAAAGTGTATCATTTAGATGCGTTATCTATTAATAAAACTATACCAGTAACCGGATTATATTATCGTATTCCTAAGCCACCAAAGATTCCTTCGTTTGGGGATCATAAAATATTTGCATCCATCATAAATAAAACTAGTAGTGTATTTACAATCCGTGTCGATTATCCAGATCCGGAGAGACCACATTTTGTAATTCATCGTATTGATGCAAGAAATGAAGATTCCTCACCAGTCACTCTTTTGATACCGTGGATGATTATTGGATTTATAGATAAATTCCCGACTGAATCATATTCTATTAGTTATCCTCGTATCAAAAATAATATCGACGAAGATGATTATGACTATGATCATACATTTTATCATTACAAGGATGATAAAAATATCAAGAACGATATTACAATATTTATAACGATATTGACGATAGTAGCATCACTTATGATTATATCGAAAATGACGATAGTTATGTTAATAGCGATAAATATAACGATAATTATAAACATTTGGGCTAATTTATTTAAACCCCAAAATTTAAAAGGAATTGACCGATCAGTTGGGGTCGGGATTGTCATTTGAAAATATATTATATATAGTAATTTAATAATAATTAAGATCATTACGTATAACGATAAA